TAGATATTATTTATAATATTTCATAAAAATTCTTTCATTACTGAATGAAGAATTAAGATTTAAAATATTGTTTGATTTTTTAATTCTGACAACATCACATCGATTATATACTCATTACTTGAATATCAGATAATATCTTTTGACCTGTATATTTTGAAGAGGCTGTTTCTATATACCATAACTTAATCATATAAGGCATTTGTAGTTTTACTCTACAAATGCATATAAAAAATGTATAATAAAATATATGACATGAGCATTTATTGTTTTGATCTTTAAAAAACCATTAGATTTATAACTAATTAAAAAGTATAACGAATTCTTTACAGGTTAATTATGTTTAAAATAGAAAATAAATAAGAGATACATCACGAATATTTATAATAAGACAAATCCTAATCTTTTAGAAACATAAGTTGTTTATTGTTAATCAACCAATCCATAGAATATTTTCTAATAGAAATGGCCTAAAATGCATTTATCTGAAGATTCACATAATTATTTTATAAATAATCTGAATTTAACTATAAAAAGAGAACTATCTTTATTTCTACCAAATTCTAATCCAAATGAAATACTTTGTTTTGTAGAAATTAAAAAATTAAAATTTTTTTATTTTATTTTATTTTCACATTATATATTTTTTTAAATAATTAAGTTAATCATTTATTTAAATAATTAAGTTAGTCGATTTTATAATTATTGTTGTTCATTATTTAATTAAGGGTATAAAATAGTTAATGATTATATACCGACAAAGTTAATCATATTTTAATATTTAAATAATTCCTCTACAAGAATAAAATTAAATGTATTATTTAAATTAAAAATATTAACTTATGTAAAATTAAAACAAAACCTTGTGAAATATTAAACAAAATATTAATTAAGATATAAAAATAAAAGAATAATTAATTGATAATTAATAATTTAAAAAAAGTAAATTTTTAAGTTCATTTATTCAATTAATTCATCACATGAGACATTTTTTCCAAAAAAATTTGATAAAAAAGCATCCTTGTCATTCAAAATCAATAAAGCAAGAATTTTAGTATTGGGATCAAATAAATCAATGTAGTTATTAATTTTATCAACATTCTTAGAACACACAAGTAGCATTAAAAGACGCTTATACTCCTTAAGATACACAAGACACTTCTCTGCTACTTCTACCTCACACTCCTGAATAGAAACATTGCAAAGCTGTGTATAGTACTCCTTTTCATTAAGCTTAGTGCAATATTCCAGACAGTCTTCATATTTCTTTGCACTAAGTGCTAATTTAAATTTGTAGGATAAATCAGTAATAAATTCTAAAGCAAGTTCTCCTTTGTTGTATTTAATCAGTTTATCTACAGGGCTTAAGCCAAGTAACTCTCCTTTCTCAATAATTGATTTTATTTTCTCTTCATTATTTTCTACCAAACTGATTGTAAAGTTTAATTCATGCATCTGTATCTCTGATTTGTTTATAATGTCATCCTTTAAATAAAATATAAAATTATTTCTTATTTCCAGAAGGAAAGCGTTCTCAATGCTTTTTAATAAACCACTTTCCTTAAAAAGATATTTAACTTGTGTCTTTGTTGCATAAATCAATGCTTCCTTA